GACTCCACAAGTAAGGGACTCAAGCTCAGGAAAAGCGAAAATAATAAAAGTCGAACAGAGTTTAACTCGATGGTGAACTCGCCCTAGGGAGTAGTCTTTGGCTACTGGTGAGCTGTGTAACCCCAGCCTCAGGAAGGTAATAAAGTTCCCAGAGCCCTGGATCTGTTGCCTGATAAGAGTTTCAGGGAGCTGGTAGGTGAGCTCCGCGGACAATCTCGGCAGATGGACCCAGAGGAACAGTTGCAGGAATGATGACTGCTGAGTGACTGTCCCCCAGACCAGAAGAGGATATTCTTGAGCCAGGGGTGGGGCAGCAGAGAAACATGATGGAGAGAGTGAGGCTGCAGGCCCAGCCTCTCCGTGTCCCCTCCCCACAACTCTGTGATCTAGAGGCCCTGGGCTAATTTGTGACCGTGATGGTATGGAAGAAAGGAATTCTCTACGATGGTGAAGACGGAAAAGAAAGAAAATTAAAGCATCACAGCATGATTTACATAGTAAAGACATCGAATTATCAGCTACTCCAAACCCCTCCCTTGACAAGCACGATGATCCGAACAAGCAGGGGTGGTGACCTTTGGGACTTGGACAATCTATATGACCTTGAACCAGCCTCTTACTTCTCTGAACCTCAGGATTTTGCTTCTTAATTGGTAAATTGGTAGTAACAATAGTAACACCTTATGGGGTTAGATGGATCATATGAGATAACACTATGTAAGGTCCTTGAAGCAACAGAACGGCCCAGGGGAAAGCATATAGGACTTGAGGCCAGAGGACCTGGATTTAAGACCTTATTGTTCTATCTGCCTGTGCCCTTAGTGAAGTCATTTAATTTCTCTGACCTGCATTTTCTTTATCTATGAAATGGAAATAATGAAAATGATGCCCACCTCAAAGGGAGATGAATATCAAGTAAGATAACAAAGCCCTTGATGACCTGTGAAGTGCATTTTAACATTAGTGATTGGCCTTGTGATGACGAGACTGAGGGCCAGGGAGGCCAACTGACTTGCCCAAGATCCACAGCTAATGTGGAACCTGATTCTGAATTTTGCCAGGCCCTGGATTCCAGGAGGTCCTCAGTCCACTCCTGCCCTCCAGGGAAGAGCCTGGCTCCCCCTGACCCCCCCAGCTCCCTGCACCTGCCTGCTGGCAGCCACCCTAACCAAATGCAGTGGAGGGTTGGGGGGGGTTACATCGATTTGAATGCTGCTGTTTATATTTGCCTTCCCTCAGGAGTTACCTAGAGTCCTTCTAGCATTGATTAGCTCTATCTTGTTTCCTAATGGAGTAAACACAGGGCCCCTTGGATGTTGACTAGAATTTAACAAACATACCCCTACAACACCAAAATCGGCCACAGGACGCAGCATTTACATGCACGGGCCACTTCTGCCTGAACTCCCAGCTGGGACTGCCCCATGACTTCCCCTTGGGCAGCTGCTGCAGCGGCTCTGAGCAGAACTCATGAATCAGTGGGACTGTTTACAGTTTTTCCGTTTTCATTTTGAGGCAGGAGTGAGTAATTTGAGCCTTGTTGAGGCAGGGGACAAATATCTGTTGATAACAGCAAAGCACGCCCGAGAGGGGCTGAGCTCCTGCCAGTTCGGGCCTGCTAGGGCTGCTCCTGGCGGCCTCTCCTCACCCCCGTCCCATGGGACCACTCTGAGCAGAGAGCTTGCAGCCTTGCCTCAGGCAGACACCTGGAGCTGGGCCTGAGCCCTTCACCCTACCCTACGCCTAAACTCAAGTCTACCCTCTGGGGCTCCACCTGGACCCTGTCTCTACCTGCCCTCCTTCCCCGCTGCCTCCCCACCCAAGCCTGCAGTAGTCCTGGGCCTCCTCCCAACCTCCCCCAGCACAGTCCTGGCCTGCCTGTCAGTTGCCTGCTCCAGGCAGCGCCTCCTGCTCTCAGCTCTGCTCTCCACAAAAGACTGGAGTGAGGTTGAGGAGGGCTGAAGGCAAGGATCAGTCAGGGGAGCTGGGTGGTCTCCCCTCCGGGCTCCGCGGCTTTCATCCCTGCCGCAGGGACGTTCCAGGTTAGGCTCAAGCCCCTGCTCTGACCTCACCGCTTTCTGAAACCAATCTTCTTTTCATTACGCCTTTGAGTTGCTGGTGTGTGTGTGTGTGTGTGTGTTTATGTGCATATGTGTGTGTTCCCTTTCGGAATGGCAATAAAATAAATCAGAAAAAAAAAAAAAGCCCCAGGAGCACTGGATTGGGAAGAACCTCTGGCTTGACCCATTAATGGTCTGGGAGAAAGAATTCCTGCTCTTTTGGGGGCAACAGCAACTTGCACCCATCCTCTCCAAGCACACACTCCCTTCCAGGGCCTCCTCATCGTATTTGGAACAGAGATGCAGCACCAAGCTCTCAGCACTCCCGAGGGTGTGCAGGTACCCATGGCCGCCTTCTGAAAAAAGACACAGCCTGGAGGGTGAGAGGAGGAGGGGATACAGACTTCTTTGCCTGTGCCTGCCCCAGCAGGGGTCCCCCTGTCCCTGTCTGGACTTGTGGCTCCAGGTTCCCAAGCGCTAATCCACCCCCATGGCTTCCTAAGGAGCAGCACAATAGCTTTATTGAGCTGAGCTATAAATTTCAGCGAGGCCGACCCTGGGAGGAGGCAATTACCTTCTGAGGAGGCTCCCTCTGGACTGACTGCTTCCAACACAAGAGGGTCTTTCATAACCACTCCTTGCCGGCCCGGGTTAGGGACGGCCCGTGCAGTGGCAGGCGCTGAGGGCGCCCCTTGCCCTCCTTATCTCCCCCTGCCCCAGCCCCACCCCTGGTGCGGCAGCATTCAGAGGGCAGCGGTCACAGGAACAAACACTCAAGCTTTGAAGGAGCTATTCGGATGGCTGCTTGTTTCCTTCCAAGTTTTGGCCTCGGCCCAAAATCTGGTTGAGGGAAGGATGGAGAAGAATAAATAACTATATCTTGCAGGCCTTTTTTAAGTTATGACACACGAGGAGAAGTGGAGAGGGGAGGGGAGGAGAGAAAGAGGGGAGGGAGAAAGGCCTTCTCCTTCTTTTCTGGGGGGGAAATTGCTACATTTTCTAATAACAAGTAACTAGAAAACAGCTGAACCTGAAAACTTCAAACTTCAATCAAAGTCACTCAGAGAGGAGTCGGTGGTTGGAAGAGGCTAGGAAACGAGAAAAAAGAACAATTGGTCTGGAATTAATCAAGATATTAATATTAGAAAAGGAGCAGAGCAGACAGGCTGTACCCAGCTTGCTGGGGTGTGAAGAGCCCGGAGCTTTGGGCCAGGGTCTTTTCCTGGGCACCCAGCCCCTTGCCTTCCCCTTACAAAAGGCTCCTGCATGAGGGACATGACCTTGAATGGGGGAGAGGTCAGAGGAGTGTTGAAAAGACTCCCCCTCCAAGCAGCCCAGCCACCCTCGCCTCCCTCCCATCCACGCCTCTTCTCCGCAGTGACAGGCCACTGCGTGGGTGGGGACATCTGTCCCCAGGGGCAGGTACCCACGGGGCAGTGTTGATGGACAGCTCTAACCTACAAAGGGACTTGTTTGGTGGGAAACAGACGCTTGGGCTCGCCAGGGCTGTCAAGCCATTCCCCAGCTCTCAACTCATTTAAACGAAAAACCCGAGTATATTTATTCCCTAGTAGACCTGATACACTCCAGCGCTCCTGCCAACTTGCTTTGCAACTTTGTACACAGCAGATCAATGTGTGCAATTTAGGAACAGAGAAATGAAGACTTCTGTGAGGACCAGGGGGTAGGGTGGGGGCTCAGACCCTGCTCACCGCCCCCCATCCCCTCCTTCTAAGACTCTCACTCCGCCCCTCTCCACACACACACCCTGTAGCACTGATCTCTAAGCCTTTAAAAGGCAAAGAAGGTCATTCAGCCACAGATATGAAAGGACAACTCTTCCACGTTAATCTTGGCAAGGCAAGTAACTGGCGCCTCTTTTCTCATGTGCCTCCCATATAGAACGTGACCATGACCATAAGTTCATATAAAACCCCATCTGCACGTCCCGTCCTGAAGGGCACCACCAGACCTGGTGTCCCCACTCCCCCGCCCACCCCAAGGAGCTCCCAAATCCTCAGCAGACTTAAGGAAACTTGGGGACAGGTGACAAAATGTTGAACAAATACAGATGCTATTTACCTTCCAGCCATTTTCCTGCCTATTCTTAGAGGACTAAAAAAAAAAAAAAAAAAAAAAAATTAACTCAGTTCTGTTGTGAAAGGAAGTTGCGAAATCTGCTGTAAGGCAGTGATTCTCACAGGTTTTGGAACTTCCTTCTCCACATTCCCACCCTCTCCTATCAAGGAGGCCACTCAGGGGGAGAAAATGGACTCAACTCTGCCAGCTGGTGTTAAAACAACAAACCTAAAATTCATTTACATAGGGCTGGCCCGCCCGTAAACACCCTCAACACCCAAGCGAGGCCTTGTGGCTACTTTCACACACACCCTCAGGCTGAACACTGCTCCTTTTTCCCACCAAAATTGCCCTTGATGTTCACTTTCATCTGAATTTACTAGAATAGTGACACCAGGGAGAGGGGCACAGTGACTTCTGCTTTGAGCTCCACACCCCTGCTAGGAAGGCGTGAACGCCTCGTAGGATTTAGATGAAGCAGAAATATCGTGCATCTGCTGGGTTCTGCTACGTGCTTTTGTGTACACTACCACAGCCCTCTGCCAGCATCACCTGCTCCACCCCCACCCAAATTCCCCAAACCACAGACGAGAATGTCAGAAACTGGCTAGAATCAGTGACACACCCTAGGTCATACAACACGTGAATGACAGTGCTAGGACTCAAAACCAGATTTTCTGACTCTAACACTAGTGCTCGCTCTTTGAAAGCACCATGATGTGGAAAAGAAAAGGCGAGCTCTGGACCAAGACAAACCTGGATTCAAATCCCAGGTTAAATCTGGTTCCAGCACTTGCTAATGGCATGGCCCTTTATGAGTCTCAGTTTGCTCATCTGTAAAATGGACGACCTAGCACGTACCTCACAAAATGGTTGGGATTACACGAGCTGATGCTGGTAAACTCTGGCATGACGGTGGCCCAAAGGAGGTACAAACAGACACTACTTCCCTTTCTCTTCTCCTTTCTCCCTTTAAGAGAAAAAAAAATGAAGATGTTTTATTGCAGTTTAACATAAATGTACAACTCAATGAATTTTCACCAAATGTACACATCCACGTGCCTAGAAATTGGACCAAGAAACAGAATGTTTTCACTTCCCCCAACCCAGAGGTCCCCATTCCGCCCCTTCCCATTTTGCTCCATTGGTTGTAGTTCCTTCTCTCATTGCTGTACGGGATCCCAGAGTGTGCATATGCTCTATTTATCCATTCTACTGTTGATAAATATTTGGGTTGTTTCCAGTATTTAGCTTTTACTAAAATGTTGCTCTGAACATTCTTGTGTGTGTCTTTTGACAAATATAGACATGTTTTTCTGTTAGCTATAAGATATGTGTATGTTCCACATGAGTAGACACTGCCAAACTGTTTTCCAAGATGGTTGTTCCAATTCACACTCCTACCAGTAGTGTTTGAGAGTTCTGATTGTTCCACATCCACACCTATACTTTGTATTGTCTTTTTTATTTTAACCATTCTGCTGAAAATGCAGTGATATTTCACTGTGATTTTAATTTACATACCCCTGATTCCAAAGAGTTGAGTACCTTTTCATCTGTTTTTTGGTCACTTGGAGATCTTCTTTTGAGAAAGGCCAGTTCAAGCCTTGCCCATTTTTCTATTGAATTGTCTGCCTTTTTCTCATTGATTTGTTGGGTTCTTTGCATATTCTGGATATGAGTTATTTGATAGATATATGTTTTGCAAATATCTTCTCCAACACTGTGGCTTGCCTTTTTGCTTTCTTAGTTGTGTTTTTTGATTAATAGAAATTATTAATTTTAACAGAGTTTAGTCAATTTTCCCATATCGTTAGGCTTTTCGTGTCCTGTTGAAGAAATCTTTATCCAGCCTGGGTCCTGAAGATATCCTCCAGTGTTTCTTTCTAAAATCTTTACCACTTTGCCTTTCTCATTTAGAACTACAATTTATCTGTTTGGTATGAGGTAGGGATTAAAAATTTTTTTTTCCAATAAGAATATCCAGTTGACGTAACACCACTTATTGAAAAAAGCCATCCTTCCCACCACGACATTGCAGTCACCTTTATCATAAATGAGGTGACTGAACGTGTGTGGGGGCCTGCTTTTAGACTGTACTATTTCAATTGGTTTATTCATTCATCATTTCATCTGTAGAATACTATCTTTATTATTATAGTTTTATGTAAGTCTTCAAGATACTTTTTAAAAAGCCAACACCGATATTTTCCCAATGCAGGAATTAAGGAAATGTGTGCACGTGTGCCCCCTTGCTTGTCCCAGGTAGATTGTGCTGAGGCCAAACCATCTGTCCAGTTAGTTGGATGGGAAGAGGGGAAGAAGTAGGGAGAGAATAAAAAAAATATGTTGTGGGAGTTTCATTTTTAGACAAAGTGAGATTGGGGTAAGTTGCCATGTGTCCTTCCTGGTGGGAAGAACCCAAAAACATAAGAAAGTTTACAAAGCAATGGGAAGAGCTTGAGCTAGGAGTCAGAATTCCTGAATTCTAGGCTCAATCATCTTACCCACCAGCTATGTGTCCTTGAACAGCCTGGTTCCTCTGTCTGGGCCTCTTTTCCTACTGTAAAGAGGGGATGGACCCAGATGTCCTCCAGCGTCCCTTCTATATCTAAGAGTCTATAACTATTACTCTAAGCCAAGGAAAGGAGCAGCTGGTTTAGGAACTGCCCCTCCAGTCTATAAAGGTATTTTTCTATTAGAGCAATAGAATACTTTCCTATTATTATTCATCCCCAACACAATATCTAACAGAAGGTGTGGATGCTGCTGGGCTGGACGTCTCCTTTGTATTCAGGACGGGGTTGTTAACGTCTTGCCCTGACCGGAGATTTGGTCTAGCAGGAGACAAGTATGGTTGTGGTGCCAGACGGACATGAGTTCAAATCTTCATTCTGCAACTTATTTGCTACGTGACTTTGGAATAATTACTCCACCTCTCTCAACTTCAGTGGCTTCATAGGTAAAATGGAGGCTAAGAATATTTACCTTCCTCTTGTACTTTTGCCAGCCAAATACATCTCCATAAGGACAAGCTACTGTTTCTAAACTACATAGTGTTGCTGTAGTATCAAAACTCGTCATTATGTATCTCATCACCTCTCACCTGTTCAGTGACTTTACTGTTTCTCAACCCCACCTGCCATGAGCCAGCCAATAAAGGTATCAGTAAATTAATAATTCACCTGGAGCCAACCCAAGGTAACACACACCTGCTCAGAGATTACCTGGTAAGTGTTCCCAGACACTTCCATCCTGGGGAATGTGGTTTTGAGTGTTTGTAAGGTCAGAGGAGAAAGAGTATGTCAACACTAGGAGTTAACGGGGGATCACATGGGACTGTGTTCACAAAGCATTTAGCACAGTGCCTGGTGTGTGGCAAACATAATGATATCTGATGGTGTTTCTATTCTTATCACACCTGTTCTTTAACAGAACAGGTGTTCTTAGGTGAAGAACACCTATGGTTCTTCACCTTAGGTGGAACATACCTAGGGTGACATACCTCCTTCCGTGGCTAGAATAACCACAGGATTCCACCCCCAAGCCAACTTACTGTTTGGCTTAAACAAACTACTGTAGGTTATTTCTTTGGCAGGAGGTGGAGAAGAAGAGCAGGTGGATTGGTAGGGAAGGTGTCTTCTTGGCCTCCATGGGAGCCTTGGCTCTTGGGAACCTTTCCTCCCTCATAGAAAACAGGGTTCTCTTCTAGCTGAGATCTTCGCTAGACTGCCAAAGGGCCCTGTGGCTACAGAGCAGACCTCTGGCCACCAGCCCCTTACCTTCCACTGGTCAAAAAAGGGCCACATCGTCTGCAAAGGTGATTTGCCCTGCAAAGGTGACTGCCTGCCACTCCATGATGTCTCTGTGATAGCATTGTCCCCAAACCAAGGCCTGCTGCAGTGTGGGCCCTCTCAGATGTTTCAGAAAGGTCTTTCCCTCTTCAGATTCTCTCCTCCTGTGTGGCTGGAGGGGAGCAGGCTGGGCACACAGGCCCCCAGCAGGATGCAACAGCAAATCTGTGCATTGCATGCAGTTCCCAGCACATTTGTTTGATCCGTGTCCAGGTTCTCTTAGACATTTTGCTTCTAAGCCGACAGCTGAACATAAAAGCAGTCCCAAGTGGCTGTTTTCAGGTCTTCAACACTGGTTAGCCGCAGTTGGGAAATCTTCTCCTTCCCAGTGCCCCTAAGTGAATTATCACATGTTATCAAGTCAGAGCTTCGGGGTGGCCAAGCCGTAGTCTGCTGCTCCTCCTCTGATGATCCATCACCCGCCGAGTGGGTTATTAAGACATTCTCTGCCCAGGAGTGTGCATCAATCCGCAGCTCGGCTGGCCTTCCAAGGGGGCACGGCAGACAGGCACCTGGCACTTCCGTCCCCCAGAAGATTAAGCCGCTCACTCTGCACCACTCCCTGGGTCCACTGAGGGGTCCTGTGTCTGATCACCAATCCCACCTCCAGCCCATACTTATTCCCGCCCCATCATTGCCCCAGCACCCATCCAAGCCATCCAAGGGACAACTTCCTCGGACGCCAGTCATCCGAGAACACATGAGGCCTTGTCAATCCCACAAAGCCCGCGCTCAGGGACAGACCCTCCGGCCCCTCCTTGCCCCTCTACAACCAGGTCATCCTGCCGCCCTCCGCCTCTGGCTGTGTGAAGGATTAGATTGCACATGAATAAGCAATATTCACTTGGCTCTGAAAGCCTGGAGTAAATCCCTCGAGCTGCTGTATGGGAGCAGCGCAATATTTCCCATCGCCTCCTCCCGCCCCTGTCTGCCCCCCAGCTCCTATTTCATTTGAAGGCCTTTTTTTTGTTTCCTGGGATGTACTTTCAGGTGGGTGACTACGTTAGAACAACACCATCAAAACACAGCATTTAGAGCAGAAAAACAGATCTCTAGGAGCAGTCACTCGATTAACAATGAGGAAAGATACTTGAGGAGTGCATCCTCCTCCCCATCTTGCCTCTCCCTCCGCTGGGAGGAGGAAGAAGGTGGGTCCCTTTGCCTCCCACACAAGCTCCCTGCCTACCAGGTCACGAACCCCACCTACGGAAGGGAAAACCTCCCAGAGGCTTCCTGGGAGCCACCCACTCTGTGAAGAGCCTGTCCTTCAGAGAGATCCGGAGAGGCCACGAATCCCTGAAGTAGGATGTCTTAGCTCAGGCTGCTATAACAAAATATCACAGACTGGGGGGCTTAATTTCTCACAGTTCTGGAGACTGACAAGTCCAGGGTCAAGGTGTGGGCAGACTCAGTTGCAGATAAGGGCCCGCTTCCTGGTTCCTGGCTTGCAGATGACTGGCTTCTCTTCTCGCCTTGTGCTCACAAAGCCTTTCTTAGGTGCATACGCAAAGAGGGAGTGAGACCCCTCTGTCTTGCCCTTCCTATAAGGGCACTAATCCCGTCACAGGGGGGCTCACCCTTATGGCCTCGTCTAGACCTAATCACCTCCCAGAGGCCCCACCTCCTAATACCATCACATTGGGAATTGGGCTTCAATACATGAATTAGTCGGGGCACAAACATCAGCCCATAACACAGGGGAAGGTGACTGCCACTTGTTACCTAACTCACAGTGTGTATTCAGCACCCACTAGAGGAGTCAAGTCCTGCCCCACTGCTGACCTGCTGTTTCCTTGGGTGACTGACTTTATCTCTCCGTGCTTCGTTTCCCTCAGCTGTTAAATGGGAAATACTGCTCTTAAGTGAGATTCTACTCACAAATGTTTAGGACTGTGCCTGACATGTACTAAGTGCTTAAGAAACATGAACAAGTCTCACTCTCATTTCATCCTCCCCCTCCACTCCCCACACCAGGCCAAATTCCAACAGTTCTGCCAGGTATAGCAAAAGGGAGTGTTTAAGAGAGGAAATGTATTTTGCTGTCCTTGATGAAGAAGTACCCACCACCCCTCTCAGGGGTCCTTCCTCAGGCCTGGAAAATTCCTGGTAAACTCGT